GTTACAGGAAAGTGGGTGTGGGAGGGAAGAACAGCAATTGGTGGAATGAATATAAAGAGAGTAGTAAGGGAGAAAATGTTAGCATATGGGAGGGTTTTGCAAAGTAGAAGTGATGCAAGGAGGGAGGAGTATATGGAGAGAAAAGAGACAGGTTAAGAGAGTGGTGAAGCAATGTAAAAAGAGAGCAATGAGAGAGTGGGTGAGATGTTATCAACAAATTTTGTTGAAAATAAGAAAAAGTTTTGGAGTGAGATTAACAAGTTAAGAAAGCCTAGAGAACAAATGGATTTGCCAGTTAAAATTAGGAGAGGACACTTATTAAATGGAGAGTTAGAGGTATTGGGAAGGTGGAGGGAAAATTTTGAGGAATTGTTAAATGTTGATGAAGATAGGGAAGCTGTGATTTCGTGTATAGGACAAGGAGGAATAACATCTTGTAGGAGTGAGGAAGAGCCAGTTGTGAGTGTGGGGGAAGTTCGTGAGGCAGTAGGTAAAATGAAAGGGGGTAAGGCAGCCGGGATTGATGGGATAAAGATAGAAATGTTAAAAGCAGGTGGGGATATAGTTTTGAGGTGGTTGGTGCAATTAATTTTAATAAATGTATGGAAGAGGGTAAGGTACCTAGGGATTGGCAGAGAGCATGCATAGTTCCTTTGTATAAAGGCAAAGGGGATAAAAGAGAGTGCAAAAATTATAGGGGATAAGTCTGCTGAGTATACCTGGTAAAGTGTATGGTAGAGTTATTATTGAAAGAATTAAGAGTAAGACGGAGAATAGGATAGCAGATGAACAGGAGGCTTTAGGAAAGGTAGGGGGTGTGTGGACCAGGTGTTTACAGTGAAACATATAAGTGAACAGTATTTAGATAAGGCTAAAGAGGTCTTTGTGGCATTTATGGATTTGGAAAAGGCATATGACAGGGTGGATAGGGGGCAATGTGGCAGATGTTGCAAGTGTATGGTGTAGGAGGTAGGTTACTGAAAGCAGTGAAGAGTTTTTACGAGGATAGTGAGGCTCAAGTTAGAGTATGTAGGAAAGAGGGAAATTATTTCCCAGTAAAAGTAGGCCTTAGACAAGGATGTGTGATGTCACCGTGGTTGTTTAATATATTTATAGATGGGGTTGTAAGAGAAGTAAATGCGAGGGTCTTGGCAAGAGGCGTGGAGTTAAAAGATAAAGAATCACACACAAAGTAGGAGTTGTCACAACTGCTCTTTGCTGATGACACTGTGCTCTTGGGAGATTCTGAAGAGAAGTTGCAGAGATTGGTGGATGAATTTGGTAGGGGTGTGCAAAAGAAGAAAATTTAAAGGGGGAATACAGGAAAGAGTAAGGTTATGAGGATAACAAAAGATTAGGTGTTGAAAGATTGAATATCAGATTGGAGGGAGAGGTATGGAGGAGGTAAATGTATTCAGATATTTGGGAAGTGGATTTGTCAGCGGATGGGTCTATGAAAGATGAGGTGAATCATAGAATTGATGAGGGGAAAAGAGTGAGTGGTGCACTTAGGAGTCTGTGGGACAAAGAACTTTGTCCTTGGAGGCAAAAAGAGGGAATGTATGAGAGTATATTTTTTACCAACGCTCTTTTTAGGGGTTTGTGAAGCATGGGTGATGAATGTTGCAGCGAGGAGAAGGGCTGGAGGCGTGGAGATGTCATGTCTGAGGGCAATGTGTGGTGTGATTTTAATGCAGAGAATTCGTAGTTTGGGAAGTTAGGAGGGGGGTGGGGATTACCAAAACTGTTGTCCAGAGGGTGAGGAAGGGGTTGTTGAGGTGGTTCGGACATGTAGAGAGAATGGAGCGAAACAGAATGACTTCAAGAGTGGGATCGTCTGTAGTGGAAGGAAGGCGGGGTAGGGGTCGGCTAGGAAAGTTGGAGAGAGGGGCTAAAGGGGTTTTGTGTGCGAGGGGCTTGGACTTCCAGCAGGCATGCGTGAGGTGTTTGATAGGAGTGAATGGGGACAAATGGTTTTTAATACTTGCGTGCTGTTGGAAATGTGAGCAAGTAACATTTATGAAGGGGTCAGGGAAACCCGGGAGGCCCGGACTTGAGTCCTGGAGATGGGAAGTACAGTGCCTGCACTCTGAAGGAGGGGTGTTAATGTTGCAGTTTAAAAACTGTAGTGTAAAGCACCCTTCTGGCAAGACAGTGATGGAGTGAATTATGGTGAAAGTTTTTCTTTTTCGGGCCACCCTGCCTTGGTGGGAATCGGCCAGTGTGATAATAAAAAAAAATAATTGGTGAATCCTTTGTGTTTGCCACACTGTTTGCTCTAGCTGGCGCTCAATTTAACTGGCGCTCCCACAAGGTACTAAGTGGTCCCATTTTTTTTAATATGGTGCACACTGAGTGTTAAGACCCATTCTATGCTGACCAGGCATCTCAAGGCAATTGTGCCAAATTTGGAGGAGGAAAATTAAGACGTACATATACGTTTGGGGCGCCACGCGTAAGGACGTATATATACGTTTGGACCGTTTAGGGGTTAATTAACAGTTACAAGCACTAAAAACAATGGAATACAAAATGTATCGCATGCACACGTGGAATCGTCCTCACTGGCTTGTAAACAATGGCACACTGGCTGTACATGGCGTGGCCAAGCCGCTCATGGCGCGCAGACACGTTCAGGACGAATGACTTTAACCGAGTTCTGTGCCAATATTTTGACGCAAAAACGTTACTTAATCTGATTATTACTTAATTCGATTACGTTGTTATCCAGGGGTCCGCTGTATAATCAGGATAGATATACCTACCAGAAATACTTGACATTTCATCAGGTTCTAGACATTAAGGAACAACCAAATTATTTCATATCAGTAATATTTGATACCAGATACTTACTCCTTGAAGGTCAGAAGGCCCTGGTAAAGCTGAATTTATCACTTCAGTGTAAGTGTCCTGCCTGAGGATCGGCCGAGTTCCAGGTTGTTGACCTGCGTTAGATTGCTCAAGCTTCATCCTCATTAAATTGGCAGAATCTAACTGGTCATTTCTGGATGTAGGAGACAACCCTTGGTCACCTCTAGACAGACCTGAATTGTTAGTCATCAAACCATAGTCCAGCCCGGTTTCAGATGAGTTACCTTCATTATCTCTGAGATCCTCCATCACCTCCTCCTTGATTAGTATTTCACAACCCTGAAATTGTTGGAAAACTAATGTATAAACAAAATTTGCTATATAAATGTTCCATCTGCTTTCCTTGATAAATATAGCAGCTAATCTTATATCCTCAAGTATCTTAACACATACACTTTTTATTCACATGTAAAATTACTATTTCTTCATACTCACTAAAACACAATTTTTAAATAATTTAAAATGACACACCTGTGAACTGGATTCAACTTTCCTATCTGATTCTCCATCTGTTTTATGATCCAAATTCTCTTCTTCTATTGAGGATCTACAAGGCTCTGCTTGCCAATCAGTCTCTGTGCTGTGTGTAGACTCCTGTGACCTAGTTGGACTATGTGAAGGAGCATCGACTCTCTCTTGCAGACTTAAGTTTCCTCCTTCAATACGTCGACGTTTTGGTTGTGGACTTACTCTGTCACTAGAATTATGGGCGGATCTATTTTTAGGATATGGACTGTTTCTCACATTAGTAGAGCTTTGTGAATGTCTTCTAGGAACATGTGGACTATTTCTACCACTGCCACTTTTCTGACTATTTGCTGATAGACTATTACCTCTGGGTGGCTCATCAGGTACAGCAAGACCCTTAATCTGCAAGAGTTCAGCCACTTTTATGAGGCGAGGCAAGTCAGTCTGTGCAACACTCACAACACCAGCATACATGTAGCTTAGAAGTGCCTCCATTTCATCACATTTAACATCTCTAAGCACAATGACAGGATGCTTGCAAGGTGTGTGCTCAAACATATTCTCAAAGTATTCACTGCATGTAGACAAGACAAGCTTATGCACTGAATAAAACTTGCCTTCACATGTCACTGTCACATCAGTGTACCTTTCCTAAGTGACAAAAAGAAAATATTAATACAGTACAGATAGTATTTAAAAATATATAACTGAGTTAGTCAGTCTCAGTCTCTCTCTCTCTCTCTCTCAGTTTCTCTCTCTCCCTCAGTCTCTCTCTCAGTCTCTCTCTCAGTCTCTCTCTCAGTCTCTCTCTCAGTCTCTCTCTCAGTCTCTCTCTCTCTCTCTCCTCTCTCTCTCTCTCTCTCTCTCTCTCTCTCTCTCTCTCTCTCTCATTTCTGCTCAACTTGATTTAGGCTTGATGAGTTTCTGAGAAGATTTAGCCTGACACAAGGAATGTCATAGAGGTTTTTGTGCCTAGTGTTGTGTCCATGGGTCCAATTGCAACTGTCAAGGAAGTGTTTCAGGTTGGGATTTATATTAGAATTGACTATTTTGTAAATATAGGTTGCACAATAGTACAAGTGAATGTTTTGTATAGTGAGTAGGTTTAGGTCTTTGAAACGTGGGGGAGGGGAGGTTGTCTAGTAGTGGCTTGTGTGACCATTTGCACTGTGGCTTTTTGTTATTATTGATTTTAGGTGGTTTTTCGTTGTGGAACACCAGGCACAAATAGCATAGGTGAGGTAGGGTAGTGCTGCTTGTGGTACACAGTAACATATCTTTGAGAGGATGCCAAGTGCTTCAGAAACTTTTTTGTTATGTGTTGGATATGGGTGTTGAATCTCAGGTTATTAAGGTGCAGACCCAGAAAGTTTCCCTCATTATGTTTAGCAATAAGGCTGTTGTTAAGCATAATGTTTAGTTGGACCTCATTTGCTCTACTCCCAGACAAAATGTTAAAGGTTTTGTTTATATTAAGTTTATTGATGGTCAACCAGGTTGCTATTTTTGCGAGTTCTTCGTTAATAAGTGTTGAGCGAGGCTAGATTTGGGTGGGAGATGACAAAAGCCACGTCATCAGCAAAGAGAATAGGTGTAAGTTGTTGTGAAATGCTTGGAAGATCATTGATGTATAAAAGAAAAAGGAAGGGGGGCCGAGAACGCTACCCTGTGGTACACCAGTGTCTAGAGGTCTTGTTGAGGAGGTTGTGTCCTTGACAGTGACGTATTGTTTTCTATTAGTAAGGTAGGATTTGATTAATGCAAGTGCATGGCCTCTTATACCATAATGATCAAGCTTGAGGAGTAGGATGCTGTGATCTACTGTATCAAAAGCTTTCTTAAGGTCGATAAAGAGTCCAAGTGGGTATTCATTTTTCTCCAGTGTTGTGTAAAGTAGGTCTAGCAGTTTTATTATTGCATCATTTGTGCTTCTGTTTCTCCTGAATCCAAACTGGTATTGGTTAAGGATGCTTTGTGATGTTATGAAGGAGTATAACTTTTTGTGCAGATGACACTACATATGTCTTCTCTACCCAAGCCCAGTCATACTAGTCAACATTGAAAATGCTGAATTACAGAAAATATCCACCTGGAAGATGACTAACAAGCTTACTCTCAATATTGACAAAACCTACTTCATTCAGTTTGGAAACAGAGCTACAAATGTTCTGCTTAACATAATGATAAACAGATCACCTGTCACAAGACTCACAGAGGGTAAAATTCTTACGAATCCACCTTGACAGTAGCTTCAATTTTCAGACACATATACAACAAATTTCCAAGAAAATCTCTAAGACCATAGGCATACTATCAAAGATATGGTACTATGTTTCACAACCAGCTCTCCTTGCTCTGTATCTATCACTCATTTACCCCTATCTCATCTATGGAATTTGTGCATGGAGCTCAACAACAATAAATCATCTCAGATCACTAATAACCCAGCAAAAGGCTGCAGTCAGAATGATAACAAATTCCCACTCCAGACAGCATACTCCACCAATATTCAAAAGTCTAAACTTTATTTTTTTTTATTAACACATCAGCTGCTTCCCACCAAGGCAGGGTAGCATGAAAAAGAAAAACTTTCATCATTATTCACTCCATCACTGTCTTTTCAGAGGCATGCCTACACTACAGTTATAAAACTGCAACATTAACACCCCCTCCTACAGGGCGCAGACACTGTACTTCCCATCTCCAGGACTCAAGTCCAGCCTGCCGGTTTCCCTAAATCCCTTCATAAATGTTACCTTGCTTACACTCCAACAGCACGTCAAGTCCTAAAAACCATTTGTCTCCATTCTCTCCTGTCTAATACACTCATGCACGCTTGCTGGAAGTCCAAGCCCTTCGCACACAGAACCTCCTTTACCCCCTCCCTCCAACCTTTACTAGGCCGACCCCCTACCCCACCTTCCCTCCACTACAGATTTGTATACTCTCGAAGTCATTCTATTTCATTCTATCCTCTTTACGTGTCCAAACCATCTCAATAACCCCTCCTCAGCCCTCTGGATAATAGTTTTGGTAATCCCACATGTTCTCCTAATCGCCAAACTACGGATTCTCTGCATTATATTCACACCACACATTGCCCTCAGACATGACATTTCCACTGCCTCCAGCCTTCTCCTTGTTGCAACATTCACAACCCATGCCTAACACCCATACAAAAGCATTGGTATAACTATACTCTCATACATTTCCCTCTTTCCTTTCATGGATAAACTTCTTTGTCTCCACAGTCTCCTCAGTGCACCACTCACCTTTTTCCCCTTGTCAATTCTATGATTCACCTCGTCCTTCATAGACCCATCTGCTAACACATCCACTCCCAAATATCTGAACCCATTCACCTCCTCCATACTCTCTCCCTCCAATCTGAAATCCATTCTTCCATTACCTAATATTTTTGTTATCCTCATCACCTTACTTTCCTATATTCACTTTTAACTTCCTTCTTTTACACTACCAAACTCATCAACCATCAAACCTACTCACCATAAAGAACATCCATACTCATTATTGTGCCTACTACATACATAGAATACTACACTCAAATATAAACCCACCACTCAAACTTTTCCTTATCAACCTTAACAGGACACATGACCATAACACAAGACACAGATCACTCTTTGACGTTCCCCATGTCCATCTCACATTATGTAAAAACTCTATGCATATAAAGGGCCCAAAAATTTGGAACTCATTACCAGTGAATACCAAAGGAACCCTGTCTGTACATCAGTTTAAGACTCTTCTTAAAAACCACCTACTCACCCAAAACTAATTACTCAGTAATTAACTTTATCTACAAAGCTACCAAATCACTCTCTACAGCCTCAAAATATGATTGCTCACTGTGTTACTCCCCTAGCCTCAGAACCCCAAAAGGAAATGCTCAAAGTACAATAATTCTCATATTTTAACCTAATGCAAATGTTGAAAATAGATATATAATATATAATATATAATATATAATATATAATATATAATATATAATAATATAAACCAAATATATAATTAGTGCAACCTGATCAAGCTATGATTTGTACGTCTAGTGTTAAGTAATCAGTAATCTATTAAGTTTAGACTGCCCATAATGCCAAGGCATGATAGTGGCTCTCTTTGCACTACAAATCATTGTAAACCCTCAGCGGAAACTATCTATGTAAATATACTTCCAACAAATGTCAACCACATTGTAAACTTGCAAGGGAATAAATAATTTGAATTTGAAATTTGAATATAGTCTTTGAATTTTATTTAGAAATATCTCTACCCATTCATTGATACCAGCAGTATTGAAAAATTCTGTAGGCCAGTCAACTGAGCTTAGTTCTGCAGTGAAGTTACTTATTGAAGCCTCATCATGGAGTCGAAAGGAGAACTTATTATATTCCATTGGTTGCTTACAAATGTTTGTTAGGAGGAAGTTGGGTAGTGATCAATAGTGCTGTCCGTGTCAGTATTGCTACTGAATCCCTATGTATAGGTTTGTGTAGTATATCGTAGTTCATACCATCAACATATACATTTAGGCTCCCTGCTCAGCTAGGCCGTGGCTAGCATGTGTGACGTCACGTGGTGACGCATGTGAGCGTCAGTCACCCTGCCTCCTCCTCAGTTCCCGCATAGACCCACAGGCAGCAACAGGTAAGCTGGGCCATTTCCCTCATGACTCTGCCAATACAAGTGTAACATCCATACCTGAGAGTATTTCTACACCTCCTTTATCTCCTAGAAGTCCCACGCAATATCCGTGATTATCCCTGCTTTAAGGGGGGCTAGTAAGTTTGTCCATATACAGTGAAACCCTGGTTTTCATCCTTAATCCATTCTAGAAGGTCGGTCAAAATCAAAAATGGATGAAAACCGAAGTACTATTTCCCATAAGAAATAATGAAAATCGAATTAATCCATTCCAGACACCCAAAAATATCAACAAAAAATAAATATAAATGACTAATTTTAATGGATAAATGAACATTTAAATCACTAATACATACCTTTATTGAAGACTCGTGTTGGCGTGTGGAAGAAGGCAAGGAGGGGAGAGGGAGGAGAGGTTATCTCTACCACCATCCCTACCACCTTCTACCATAATCACTACCACCTTCTACCACCATCACAACCACTACCACCTTCTACCACCATCACAACCACTACCACCCTCTACCACCATCACTACCACCCTCTACCACCATCACTACCACTCTCTACCACCATCACTACCACCCTCTACCACCATCACTACCACCTTCTACCATCATTACTACCACCCTCTACCACCATTGAATTCCATTGTGTTTCTCGCCTTCTTTATCAAAGGGCTGGCACTCTGAACTTTCTTTGGCCCCCATGGTGGCTTATTTAGCAGTAGCACTCAATAAACAAGCACAAAAAACAATCAATTATTACAAAATGTTTGTAATAATCAGAGGCAGACTAAGTCACGTACGTGTGAGCAGCCGTGTCCTGGGTGGGCGGACGCGTCTGATACGGATGATTTCCAAGTGGAGGTACAAAACCCGGGGTAAAATTTCACCCAAAAAAGTGGTCAAAATCCAAATTGTACGATATCCACACCAGATGAAATCCGAGGTTCACTGTACATATGATCAATTATGGTTGCACTCGTCTCAGATAGTCTTGTTCGTTTTGTAATTGCTGGTATGAGTAGTGTATTGTTCATATTGTTAATTAAGTCAGCAACAGGTTGGTCATCTGTTAGGCCAAGGTTGATGTTGAAGTCTCCTGCTAGTAGTAGGTGGTGCTTATTCATTTGTGTATCTGTAATCGCTGTTTTGAGTTTATCACTAAAGGATGGGATATTAGTATGAGGCATCCTGTATATGGCCCCAATTGCTAGAATTTTTTAATTTTTTTACAGAGAAGTTTGTGAACACATTCACCATACTCATCATTAAAGGATATAGTGTTGCTACATGATAGTTCACTAGAATAATAGATGGCAATACCTCCCCCAATTTGTTCTGGCCTGCAGTTGTGGATTACTGTGTATCCTGATAGTGTGTACATGTCTATTGTATCATGCTTAAGCCAGGTTTCAAAAAGAATAATACAGGAGAAGTTTGTCTTTAATGCATCTAGGAGTGCTAGTGTTTACTTAGGGATCTAATATTGTAATTCAAAATTGTAATATTTCTTGCATTGTTGAGGACAGTACTGGCTTCTATTGCTGTGTAGTAAAGGCAATTGCTTTCAGTTATATGGAAACTGGGATTTTGATTATATAGGTTCAGTTCAGAGTCAATGTCAGCACTGAGCATTTGGGGTTAACTGGTAAATATTTAAAAGCTGATGAATTGCACTAGGGTGATAAGGGGTAATATTAATATCTGTAAAAAGGGGGTGATTGAACAATAATGGTGTAAGTGTATACTGTTCCATTAGATTGAACAGCCTAATAAACATATATTGAAATAGTAGTAGTAAAAAATAATGAACTATTAAGACTAGGTATATCATTATCAATTGTTAAAAAAATATAAGTTATACATTATAAGAGAAGAGACTTTATATACCTTAGCTCTAAGTGAAGCCAAGGTATGGCAGAAGGTGGCACTGTGGTTGTTCCAGGATAATGATAACATTCCCTCAGCCATCTTCACCCATTAATGACCTATCCCTGAGAAAAATGAAATGTATACCATTGTTAGCAACAAAATTATTAGCTTTGCATGATACACCTGAAAAAGAAATTTGATTTTTCATAATACAACAAAATTTTACAGAAAGTTAACTCCTTTAGACAGCTGCATAATGTCATATGGATGCAGTACTGTACTCACAAAAACACAGCTGAGTCTATTTAATACTATAAAATGTAAATCATGTAAATCATTTTGTCAATATTTAATAAGAAAACAATTTATTACATAGAGTTCTAATCCTCATTTCAACAAAGAAATGAGTCATACCATGTCAAGGCTCAGTATGTAGATGTCAAGGCTCAGTATGTGGATGTCAAGGCTCAGTATGTGGATGTCAAGGCTCAGTATGTGGATGTCAAGGCTCAGTATGTGGATGTCAAGGCTCAGTATGTGGATGTCAAGGCTCAGTATGTGGATGTCAAGGCTCAGTATGTGGATGTCAAGGCTCAGTATGTAGATGTCAAGGCTCAGTATGTGATGTCAAGGCTCGTATGTGGATGTCAAGTCAGTATGGATGTCAAGGCTCAGTATGTGGATGTCAAGGCTCAGTATGTGGATGTCAAGGCTCAGTATGTAGATGTCAAGGCTCAGTATGTGGATGTCAAGGCTCAGTATGTGAATGTCAAGGCTCAGTATGTGAATGTCAAGGCTCAGTATGTAGATGTCAAGGCTCAGTATGTGGATGTCAAGGCTCAGTATGTGAATGTCAAGGCTCAGTATGCAGATGTCAAGGCTCAGTATGTGGATGTCAAGGCTCAGTATGGGGAAATGTCAAGGCTCAGTATGTGATGTCAAGGCTCAGTATGTGGATGTCAAGGCTCAGTATGTGAATGTCAAGGCTCAGTATGCAGATGTCAAGGCTCAGTATGTGGATGTCAAGGCTCAGTATGTGGATGTCAAGGCTCAGTATGTGGATGTCAAGGCTCAGTATGTGGATGTCAAGGCTCAGTATGTGAATGTCAAGGCTCAGTATGCAGATGTCAAGGCTCAGTATGTGGATGACAAGGCTCAGTATGTGAATGTCAAGGCTCAGTATGCAGATGTCAAGGCTCAGTATGTGGATGTCAAGGCTCAGTATGTGGATGTCAAGGCTCAGTATGTGAATGTCAAGGCTCAGTATGTAGATGTCAAGGCTCAGTATGTGGATGTCAAGGCTCAGTATGTGAATGTCAAGGCTCAGTATGTGGATGTCAAGGCTCAGTATGTGGATGTCAAGGCTCAGTATGTGGATGTCAAGGCTCAGTATGTGGATGTCAAGGCTCAGTATGTGAATGTCAAGGCTCAGTATGCAGATGTCAAGCTCAGTATGTGGATGTCAAGGCTCAGTATGTGAATGTCAAGGCTCAGTATGCTAGATGTCAAGGCTCAGTATGTGGATGTCAAGGCTCAGTATGTGAATGTCAAGGCTCAGTATGCAGATGTCAAGGCTCAGTATGTGAATGTCAAGGCTCAGTATGTAGATGTCAAGGCTCAGTATGTGGATGTCAAGCTCAGTATGTGGATGTCAAGGCTCAGTATGTGGATGTCAAGGCTCAGTAGTAATGTCAAGGCTCAGTATGTGGATGTCAAGGCTCAGTATGAGATGTCAAGGCTCAGTATGTGATGTCAAGGCTCATATGTGGATGTCAAGGCTCAGTATGTGAATGTCAAGGCTCAGTATGTGAATGTCAAGGCTCAGTATGTGATGTCAAGGCTCAGTATGTGAATGTCAAGGCTCAGTATGTGGATGTCAAGGCTCAGTATGTGGATGTCAAGGCTCAGTATGTGGATGTCAAGGCTCAGTATGTGAGATGTCAAGGCTCAGTATGAGATGTCAAGGCTCAGTATGTGATGTCAAGGCTCAGTATGTGGATGTCAAGGCTCAGTATGTGAATGTCAAGGCTCAGTATGTGATGTCAAGGCTCAGTATGTGGATGTCAAGGCTCAGTATGTGAATGTCAAGGCTCAGTATGGGATGTCAAGGCTCAGTATGTGGATGTCAAGGCTCAGTATGTGATGTCAAGGCTCAGTATGTGGATGTCAAGGCTCAGTATGTGATGTCAAGGCTCAGTATGAATGTCAAGGCTCAGTATGTAGATGTCAAGGCTCAGTATGTGAATGTCAAGGCTCAGTATGAGATGTCAAGGCTCAGTATGTGGATGTCAAGGCTCAGTATGTGAATGTCAAGGCTCAGTATGTAATGTCAAGGCTCAGTATGTGATGTCAAGGCTCAGTATGTGGATGTCAAGGCTCAGTATGTGGATGTCAAGGCTCAGTATGTGGATGTCAAGGCTCAGTATGTGAATTCAAGGCTCAGTATGTAGATGTCAAGGCTCAGTATGTGATGTCAAGGCTCAGTATGTAGATGTCAAGGCTCAGTATGTAGATGTCAAGGCTCAGTATGTGATGTCAAGGCTCAGTATGTGAATGTCAAGGCTCAGTATCAGATGTCAAGGCTCAGTATGTGAATGTCAAGGCTCAGTATGTAGATGTCAAGGCTCAGTATGTAGATGTCAAGGCTCAGTATGTGGATGTCAAGGCTCAGTATGTGATGTCAAGGCTCAGTATGTGATGTCAAGGCTCAGTATGTGATGTCAAGGCTCAGTATGTGATGTCAAGGCTCAGTATGTAGATGTCAAGGCTCAGTATGTAGATGTCAAGGCTCAGTATGTGATGTCAAGGCTCAGTATGTAGATGTCAAGGCTCAGTATGTGAATGTCAAGGCTCAGTATGTAGATGTCAAGGCTCAGTATGTAGAATCGTAAGGCCCAGTATGTGATGTCAAGGCTCAGTATGTAGATGTCAAGGCTCAGTATGTGATGTCAAGGCTCAGTAATGTAGAGGGTCAAGGCCTCAGTATGTGAGATGTCAAGGCTCAGTATGTAGATGTCAAGGCTCGTATGTAGATGTCAAGGCTCAGTATGTAGATGTCAAGGCTCAGTATGTAGATGTCAAGGCTCAGTATATGTGAATTGTCAAGGCTCAGTATGTAGATGTCAAGGCTCAGTATGTAGATGTTCAAGGCCTCATATGTGAATGTCAAGGCTCAGTATGTAGATGTCAAGGCTCAGTATGTAGATGTCAAGGCTCAGTATGTAGATGTCAAGGCTCAGTATGTACATGTCAAGGCTCAGTATGTAGATGTCAAGGCTCAGTATGTAGATGTCAAGGCTCAGTATGTGAATGTCAAGGCTCAGTATGTAGATGTCAAGGCTCAGTATGTAGATGTCAAGGCTCAGTATGTGAATGTCAAGGCTCAGTATGTAGATGTCAAGGCTCAGTATGTAGATGTCAAGGCTCAGTATGTAGATGTCAAGGCTCAGTATGTGAATGTCAAGGCTCAGTATGTAGATGTCAAGGCTCAGTATGTAGATGTCAAGGCTCAGTATGTAGATGTCAAGGCTCAGTATGTAGATGTCAAGGCTCAGTATGTGAATGTCAAGGCTCAGTATGTGAATGTCAAGGCTCAGTATGTAGATGTCAAGGCTCAGTATGTGAATGTCAAGGCTCAGTATGTAGATGTCAAGGCTCAGTATGTAGATGTCAAGGCTCAGTATGTAGATGTCAAGGCTCAGTATGTGAATGTCAAGGCTCAGTATGTAGATGTCAAGGCTCAGTATGTGAATGTCAAGGCTCAGTATGTAGATGTCAAGGCTCAGTATGTAGATGTCAAGGCTCAGTATGTGAATGTCAAGGCTCAGTATGTAGATGTCAAGGCTCAGTATGTAGATGTCAAGGCTCAGTATGTGAATGTCAAGGCTCAGTATGTAGATGTCAAGGCTCAGTATGTAGATGTCAAGGCTCAGTATGTACATGTCAAGGCTCAGTATGTAGATGTCAAGGCTCAGTATGTGAATGTCAAGGCTCAGTATGTAGATGTCAAGGCTCAGTATGTAGATGTCAAGGCTCAGTATGTAGATGTCAAGGCTCAGTATGTAGATGTCAAGGCTCAGTATGTAGATGTCAAGGCTCAGTATGTGGATGTCAAGGCTCCAGTATGTAGATGTCAAGGCTCAGTATGTAGATGTCAAGGCTCAGTATGTGAGATGTCAAGGCTCAGTATGTAGATGTCAAGGCTCAGTATGTGAATGTCAAGGCTCAGTATGTAGATGTCAAGGCTCAGTATGTAGATGTCAAGGCTCAGTATGTGGATGTCAAGGCTCAGTATGTGGATGTCAAGGCTCAGTATGAGATGTCAAGGCTCAGTATGTAATGTCAAGGCTCAGTATGTGGATGTCAAGGCTCAGTATGTGAATGTCAAGGCTCAGTATGTGGATGTCAAGGCTCAGTATGTGGATGTCAAGGCTCAGTATGTGGATGTCAAGGCTCAGTATGTGAATGTCAAGGCTCAGTATGTAGATGTCAAGGCTCAGTATGTAGATGTCAAGGCTCAGTATGTGATGTCAAGGCTCAGTATGTAGATGTCAAGGCTCAGTATGTAGATGTCAAGGCTCAGTATGTGGATGTCAAGGCTCAGTATGTGGATGTCAAGGCTCAGTATGTGAATGTCAAGGCTCAGTATGTGGATGTCAAGGCTCAGTATGTGAATGTCAAGGCTCAGTATGTGGATGTCAAGGCTCAGTATGTGGATGTCAAGGCTCAGTATGTGGATGTCAAGGCTCAGTATGTGAATGTCAAGGCTCAGTATGTGGATGTCAAGGCTCAGTATGTGAATGTCAAGGCTCAGTATGTAGATGTCAAGGCTCAGTATGTGAATGTCAAGGCTCAGTATGTGGATGTCAAGGCTCAGTATGTGAATGTCAAGGCTCAGTATGTGGATGTCAAGGCTCAGTATGTGAATGTCAAGGCTCAGTATGTGGATGTCAAGGCTCAGTATGTGAATGTCAAGGCTCAGTATGTGGATGTCAAGGCTCAGTATGTGAATGTCAAGGCTCAGTATGTGAATGTCAAGGCTCAGTATGTATGTCAAGGTCAGTTGTGTGTCAAGGCTCAGTATGTAAGTCAGGTCAGTATGTGATTCAAGGCTCAGTATGTG